TTTTTATAATATCTCAACTGTTTCTTCTAGACAGCAATGCGATTAAACGCAGGACAATGGAGACTTTCGCTTATGACTCCTGCTTCTTAGATTTTTCTTCACATGTAATCTCCACAAGAATTTTCACAAGTGTTCAGATTTGCTATAAGATCCCAAAGTCTTGCTTAGATTTCATTTTGAACTCAAACATTTTTCATCAAACAATGATCAAATTTTGTGAGCGATGCTATCCACATTCATTTGATAGCTTTTATAGCATTCCTTTTATAGTTATTGCTCTATGTCAAAATTTGATTCTATTTTAGGAGACACATCTGAGACAAAGCTGCTGCTTGAACTATGACCGAAAAGTCTTCAATGTTTCAGGGGCTATGAAAGAGCAATAAAAATGGCCTCTTGTGATAATCTAATTCACACACACACACAGACACACACACACACACGTCTGGTTCACTATCCTGTACAAACTGGCGCTCACTCTAGCCCGCCGGCCGTTCCTCACTCTAGGCATCCGGCCTCCGCTCACTCTAGCCCACCGTGTGTGACGCTGTGTGTTTCGTTGTGAAAGCGAAACTACTTTGTTTGGCCTTCCAAAAGAGGACACAACTAGAAATCAGTGGTTAAGTTGTATTTACAACACAGTTCCAGAACAGTTCAACCCAAATATTCAGATGTGTGCAGCGCATTTTATGGAGGACTGTTGCCTGATCCTGCAGAGCAACGTTAGCCTACAATGAGTCTGTGCACAAAGGCTGTTTCTATAAAGTGGGGCAGTTCCAACTTTGCAAGGACAGTCTGGTGCTTCTGACTCACAGCCTGTAAGTACGTTTTTTATATTTAAAGAATTTGCCACTGACGATTCAAACGCGAGTTTTGAGCAGTGTAGAGTAGCGCTTGTTGTTTGTTGTTTCTCCGATCACAAATGCAGACATGGTTTTGTTTAAGTGGCGCGATGCGCAACGCAACGCGTAAAAAGACAGTATAAGTCATTATAATCAGTAATTATGTCCCCACTGGATGCAACAAATGCCTCGTTTGTAATGGGTTTTATTGGTGTTATCTCATCGCGTCGCAACACGGCATCACAGTATGGTAAAGGGCATAAGATTTCCGTCACATGCTTGAAGCATTCAGCCAATCACAACGCACTGGATAGCTGGCCAATCAGAGCACACCTCGCCTTTTCAGAACGATGAGCTTTGTAAAAATCGATGCGTTTCAGAAAGGCAGGGCATAGAGGAGAAACAATAATGTACATTATGTGAAAAATAATGTGTTTTTTTAACCTTAAACCGCATAAACACATTGCATTACACCAAATACACAACATAATGTTCTTTTTAGCAACGCCATATGACCCCTTTAACAATTGGACATCAGTCTACTGTGACAGATAAAACATGAGACAGACTGAGCCGTTCACAGCTGGATTTTATAGCTCCAGGTTCAGGGGGTTTCATTTTAATAATGGCTGTACTGTACCACTTTTCAAGTATCACGTCTCAAAGCCTAAATGCATTGCAGTTTTTTGCCATTTATCACAAGATTTCAGAAAGATGATCATTACAGGAAAAAAAATTAATCAATGAGCCAGTATCTGCTGCCCAATGCTGATCTATGTTATTTTTTGATAAAGATAAAATGATACACCTCAAAGATCCTGTTTTATATCACCATTAGTTAGGTGGCAGGGGAAAGATCAGATTAAAAACCTATTAGGAACCAACTCTTGGGATTCATTAGAGGAGAATTTGTTTTGCTTACAAGAGCATTTTCTACTTTAATTAGTAATACCTGCTAAAATGAAGTTATCATCCCCTTTTCAAATTAGTTGAGCTAATAAATCATGTACATACAATGTGCCCTTTTATGTTTACACAATGTCATTTTGGTGTTTGTATGTGTGTTGTGCGTGTTGTATGAGCTTATCTGTGTGTTCAGTGTAGGTAGTGATTTTTTTAATGCTGGTTCATATAATCTGCATAATTACAAATTCACTGTAATTTTGTCTGAATGAAATGAATGATCTAGACTGACCTGTATTTGTTATGCCGTGAGTATTTAATCCAAATCTGTCTTTACAGCATTTCACAGAAGCTGGAAGGCTGGATATTTATTGCAGTGATGAATGATCACTAAAAATAAGCAAATGAAAGTGGACAAACCCACAAAATTATAGAAATGAGCAACACAACAATACAGTTTAACCTCAAGTGATATAACAAATGAAAGTGATATATACTTTCACTATATATATATTATATATATATATATATATTCGTTAGCCTGTATCCAGCTTAGGCTTGTTCTCCCTTTATTTTTAATTTGTATATATACTGTTTGAATGACAGCTTGGTAAATCTGTTGGCGATCAAATATTCAATATCGCTACTCATAAGTACTTGGTACATTATCAGTAAAATAAAATCCTCACCTACAGGTTTCTTTTCTCAACACTCATCAGCGCTGAAAGTGAACACTCGATGCTGATTGGCTAATTTATTTTTTAACAACGGAGGCACGAGAGCTCAGCTCTCTCCCGGACTCCCCCTCCTCTTCTCTATCACCTAGCGGTTGTAATTCCATCAGCAGATTCGGCACATTCGCGATAGAAAAGCGGCGCTTTACAACTTCAGTAACATGTTATGGTATTACAGCTGTGAAATTACAAACAAAAAATACACGTTCTGAGATATTAACTGAAATGAATTGTGAATTTTATTAACATTAAATCGTCCTCATTTTCACCTCAAAATTTTTGGGAAGCTGTGCCTCCCCCGACGATCAGGGCTGTTAATGCTGTGGTTATTTTATCAGTTTCCTTCGTACATTCAGTTTAAATCGAGAAAACGAATGCGTTACACCCCTAGTATGAGGTGTCAGTGTCGTTGCCACGACAACATAAACACAGACAACAACTTAAGCAGATATTAATCTATACCACAGTTCATGATATGTGTGCATGCACATGTCTGTGTGCACTAACCACTAACCACGCTGATCTCCGAAAGTTTCTACAAATGGATGTGAAATGTGTGCTCGTTATTTTGTTGATCCACCTGGCTTACATTGTTTTTGGTGCGTGATAAAATTATAAGTATTTCAACACATGACTTGTGCCAACAGGCTACACTGTTTTCACAACATTGCTATGAGCTATGAGCAGGCTTGGGCTAGAGCTGACGGATATTACCAGATCATGTCTGAACAAATCAACCTCTACTGGGAACCCTTTCCCAAGCACTGTGTTGAGTTACATGGCACGGTTAAATCATCTCTCTACTGAACATGTTATTTAGACCAGGACTAGTCATAATGTTTTTTTCTTTTAAGTGCAAGGAAAGTCCCATTTCATAAAAGAGTGGGTGGAAGAGAGATTATCTGATTGCCTTTATGTTTATGTAAGCAGGTGATGTGACATCTATCTCCTAGAAACATGCACAAGAACTAAATATTTTTTTGAAAGAGAGATAAATTTTAGTACACTCAGAATAAGAAGGAAGAATCTGAGCATCTATTTTTTTCTCAGTGTAATCACATAATAAGGGCAGTGTAGAGTAGCACTTGTTGTTTGTCATTTCTCCGATCACAAATGCAGACATGGTTTTATGTTTACGCGGCGCGATGCAACGCATAAAAAGACAGTATAAGTCATTATAATCAGTAATTATGTCCCCACTGGATGCAACAAATTCCTCGTTTGTAATGGGTTTTAATGTTTTTGTCTCATCGCTCCGGCCGGACACGCCATCAACAGTATGATGAGTGGCGTAACATTTCCGTCACACGCTTGAGGTATTCGGCCAATCACAACGCACTGGATAGCTGGCCAATCACAGCACACCTTGCTTTTCAGACCGATGAGCTTTATAAAAATCGATGTGTTTCAGAAAGGCGGGGCATAGAGGAGAAACAACAATGTAGCCTACAGTATGTGGAAAATAATGTGCTTTTTAAACTTTAAACCGCATAAACACATTTCATTACACCAAATACACAAAATAATGTTCTTTTTAGCAGCATCATATGACCCCTTTAAATCGTCCTCCTCCCATTTTCACCTCAAAATGTTGGGGTAGCTGTGCCTCCCCTGCCTCCCCCGACGAGCTGCCACTGATAATGATAGTTCTAAAAATCATTCTTAATCTAAAATAACAGCAGAGTCCACACCACAACTGTAACAATAATGACAAAAAGGAACAATATCTTTGGAATCACTTTTTTCTACTTCTCCAGAAGAATGAAAGCTTCTCATTCGTGAAAAGTTTCTCTAAGGCAAGTCACTCAGCATTCATCTTTGAAACGTGATTTTTATGAATAAAACGACTATTTTATTCACGCAAGTACAGCTCCTGTTGTCATTCAGTTTAGTTTGGTTTTCTGTGTTCATTTCCTGTCTGTGTGTCTGAATTGTTACCATGGTGTTTGATTTGATTGCTTTATCGTGTTCAGCTATGTTCGCCTAATTATCCTGTTTATTATATTAATTCCTCTGTTTGTATCCTCATTTGTTCGGTATCGTCAGTTACGTTTTTTTCTTCTTTGCTAGCCTGCCTTTTTGAGTTTGTTCAGTTTATCTATACTATTAAAAGTTATTGTGAATCGTTATCTTCATCGTCATGCCTTGGATTACCTCGTTGTGTGACACCTGTGTCTTTGAATGGCGAAACATCAAATTCTCCAAAGCTGTTCACCAAGTTAACAATTAAAATTCATTTGTGAAATCACCAATAAAATCTGACAACAACTGTCTCATTTGTTTCTTATGCTCAAATAGTATTAAAAAGCTTATTTTCAGACTAGACCAGCCAATGCGCATGTGCAGTCCTGAGTAGCATAGCAACCGGAGATTCAAATGGCAGCTCCAGTGATGTGATTGTCTCTTTTTTTTAGAAAGCGTTATTTATTTATTTTTTACCTTTTTTTTTCAGAGTGAAAATGCTACAGGTGAAGGGGGTAAAATATTATTAACTATAGGAAAAGTAAGTCTAACTTTGAACTCACTTGCATTTGAGGCTTTTGCACACAGATTGTCATATTATGCTGATTGCCTAGCAGAGTGTGTTATAAAATATGGCTGACAATTAGCACTTTGATGTGTGATATAATATTTTATGGCTACATGTGGCAACTAGAAGAGGTCCATAGAGGTAAGGTGTTTCCCCTTAAAATTAAAACAATAAAACAATCATGAAACATTAATATCAACCTAGTGCTTTCCTTATCACATACACAGAGTCCTTCAGATGACTGATGGTGAACTGATGAATCACTCTTGTTAAGAACTTGTTCAGCTACATTGACAAGATATGATCCAAGCAGCACTGCTGTTTCAACGTGGCCACTGATTAATAAATCTATTAGGCTAAATGACAGTAGTCACATGTGCCAGTAACATTAGTCATATGATGCCTAACCCTTTATGTTCAACTCAGCTTGCTTTAGACAAGCATTGCAGATGGGGGAGGGCTTGTCTGTTTTCTCCAGAAATGCAGGTTGGAGTTTGATGGTTTTATTGGCATTGTTTGAGGATATGATCCCCAAAAATATCCTCCTGCAGATTTTCATGTCCTTTTTATATTATTATTCCCCTCCCCCCCACCCCC